CCCACCCCCCCCCCTCCCCCCTAACCCCCCCGTGTCCCCATCTTCCATATTCCAATGCGTGTGTTTGTGTGTGTGTGTGTTCTTGCCCCCCCAAAGGACTGTATGAAAAATCAGTTTCACTACACGCGTGGTTTTAAGCCCATTAGCAAAAACATCATGTCGTGTGAAAGGTTTCATCTCTGAACAAATGGAACCATGCAGTGATGCAGCAAAAACTATCTGTCACTATTTGTGCTAATCCACTAGCAACTGTTGCCCAAATTGGTACACAATCTGTTGAATCGCATGTTTCACATCGCTTCACTTCCATGTTCTGCCTTGAGGTTTGACCCAAACAATGAAGAGTTCCTGCAAAACTATGTTCAGCTAAGGATCTAGAAACTTTCCAGGCAGCACATGGCTTCCCTTGCCAGCACCTGTGGCAATGTGTTGTTGCTCATTGCACCGGCAAGCTTGAGTCTGAGTTGCTGAAGATCAAGAAAACTATCTCACGTATCAAAGGCTCACACCAGGTTTTCCTTTGATCACGCCCAGCTCCACCAACCATGAATGCAACTCCGAGCTAACCTACGAAAGCTCATGCTGAAGCAAGTCAATACATCACAGAAAGCATGAACCTCGGGAGGTGGTAGGGGCGGCTGCATCTGCCAAAGCACAGCTACAAAAGCAAATGCAAATCTGTCACAACACCTTCAATCAAAACGAACAAAACTGGTGATGCCTTTCAAAGCTCAATCCATCACCAAGGCCGCAAACCTTAAGGCTCAAGAAGTTGATAGTTCCCAGAGTCCCAAAAATGGACAGCGCCGTTGGGGAAGCTTCCTCAAAGCTTAGCTGTTGAAAGCAGGGTGCCACAAGAATATCTAGGAACCGAATCAATCATCGAGGGGTTCTTCTGAAGCCTAATAGCTACTTTAGCTACTTAAACTTGCTATGGCCTACCCTTCTCCAGCATAAAAAATGAAGGCTTAGTCTGAGGATGCTGCCGACTGGAACAGTCTGCCCGGTCCCACGACGCTGCAGCTATGTCAGGTTTGAGCCCTGCTCCTCCTCTGAACTTAGTTCCCTTGAAAATGTACAGCGAGCCTTTTGTGACCTACGTGAACTGTGAACTGGCAAAGTTACAGTATTTCAACAATTAGCAGCGCTCGTTTTGCTGTTCAAATCGGAAGGCAAAACATTGTGCTAAAGCGAGTGTACAAAAATGCACTATTTCTTCGTATCTTTCTTCGTCGCAGCCTTTGAAAAAACCTAAATCCGCTCGATCTATTAAGGCTATGAACGGAAGTGGGTCAAAGACTTACCGGATGGCAGTTGTTCAAAGACTGGAGCAACAAAATTGAAAAAACTCGGTATGTGAAGTTCCCAATCCACTGAATCAACTGCCTCTGCGTTGGTCATGTTGCATGTTAGATTCTGCACATCCTTGGACGATGCAGTCTACTTTGCATGACCATTGTAGCAATAATACGATGGTGAGACGCTCCGCATTTGCGGAGGGGCAGCAAAGAGTCCGTTGAAATCGAGAACTTTACAACATCTTCAAGACGTGGGAACTCCGGAGTCTCTGCCTTCACTTAAACATATGTTGCCAGCTTTGCTCGCAACCTAAGTTGCGAAAAGATAATTTTGCAAACGTAAGTTTTCTTATTCTAGGTGCCACGCTGCTGAACTTCGTCTTCGGCCTTCTGTCTCAGCACCCGCTCCTGCTTGCCACAGGAGCTGTGCCCTGGTCTTAGTATGAGCATGGACGAACCTGCTGCAGCTGGTTCCTCATGTCTGCAGCGCCTGATCAGGAAGCTTGCAATCTGGCAGAATCAAGGGCGGCCCCGGCTTTGGTTCTTTCTTCCTCGATATACATCCCAAACCGCTACCTGCATCGAGGACAAGTGCTGCCGCTGCAAGGCTGGACCTCCATCTAGGCGCAAGAAAACAATCTCCACGCTCAGGTCGGCACATAGCTTCCAGCAATGTGGCTGCCTAGGAGATGAGGCAGTTCTCAAGAAGGACTGTCTGCTCGGGGGCTGAGGAGTGGCCTTGCAAGCAAGCCAAAAGCGTGGATCAAATGGGACACACCAATGTTGTGCCTCGGAGCCGCTTCGGCTTCTGCTGGAGTGCAGCTGAGAGCTGCATGCAGAAACATCATCACCTCAACAAAAAGGGAGATCTGAGTCCAGGAAAGTATCTTGGTTGAAAGCAGCATCTTTCTAAATGAATTTCAGATGCCATTTTCAGCACCAATACGACCATGCTCCATGATTTATACAAAAGAAACCGGCTGTGCCTGCCAAGCATGGCTTACCTGCATCACTGCATCAAACGAATCAGCGTGCATCAAGAAGCTTTGAGAGAGTATTGAAGGACTTCTCTATATTTTAACAAGGACATTGCTACAAGTAGCTATATAGAAGATAGTAGTTTAACAAAAGAGTGGGCTTTTAAAAAACAAGGACTTCTTCTGCGCTTTTCTAAAACACAACATGCTCGAAGGTTGCAAAGGCCCAAGCCTCTCACACTTCCGACCAATTTGCGAAAGTGACCGGTCTCCACTCGAATTGGTATCAAGCCTCTCACATTCTGCGTAGAAGCGATTGTACTAGCCAATTCTTTGAGTGGAATGAGGATGCACTTCACAATGAAAACTGCTCCTTCTGTGTGAATCCCTGGTCGAGGGGAGAATACTGGAAAGGTTGCCCAAAACTCCTGTTCAAGCAAGTCTGCCCAAAAATAGCAGCGAAGCAGCAAAGCTATTGAAAGGCATGGTGTTCACAGTCCTCGCAGTCGACTCGGCTTCTCCACTGCATATCAAACTGCAACAGGCGACCGTGAAGCGATGCAGTACAAATCAACATTTTGTCCAAGCTCCAGGTGCTCCCAGGAAAACATGGCAGTCTTTTTGCAACTTGGGGACAGCAAAGCCGGTTCGAGTGCGTGTTTTTGCTAAGGGATACCATTCGCGCCCCCGCAGAGCGTTTTAAAACAAGATTGATTTTTGCCGCGCCTTTGGTAGAGCAATTTGGCCATCAGACTCAGGAGCAAAAAATGTACAGTACAATGTATATTTTTCAAAGTTTACGGTGTTTACCGCGCGTGTGGTAAAAAGATGATCGCCAGACCCAGGAAAAAACACGGTAAACAGAACAGCTATATTTTTGGTTCTTTTGCCGTTTTACCGCGCGGGTCGCAAAACAAAAGCGAGCGACCCCGTAAAAGAAGAGTAAAAACATACTTCTTGCTTCTTACCGTTTTACCGCGCGTGTTGTTTAAAAAAGGGCCCTACAGGAACCCCATAGCCCGAGCAGCACCGCTAAACCAGCACAGGGGAACAGCCATGCCCTTCAGCAAGGCGTAGAATAGCTTGGGTTCAAAAAGAAGCCTCTTCCATTCCGAAGAGGCCGAGAGGGAGATCCTTCCTTGCAGAAAACAGTTCCTTCACATGGTCCAACACCTTTGTTCAAGAACCCTTTGCTGTTCAGCAACTTTGTGTTGCAGATCTTTCAACATCCCTAAACGGCTCGACAACCAGGCCTGAGAAGGACTGACATCCGCCTTCCCCGTGCCCGGCATCGTCCGGTGGCTCGCGAAGTCTTTTTGATTTGTGCTAGAAGTGAGCAGCTGCAATAGCTAGAAAATACATGAACATACTACAGAGTTTGGTAGGTTCCAACTCAACAGCACCAGATTCGGCAAACATAAGTAGACTAAAACTCTAGATAGGACTCTGAAGCAGTACTCAATCCTGTCAGCCATTTCGATGCATAAATATATATATATACATTTTGGTATTTCACCCTTTCGAGCAAAAGCACATCTCACAGCTGGCTCCCAGCATGGGAGTTGTCAAAGCTGGTGTGTTTCAGTCAAAAAAATGTCTTTGGCTTTCATTGATGATATGGTTTGAACCCTGGGACCCTCAAAGGGTGACCCTGATAGTACATCAGGTGGAATCCCTCGCAGGGTGATTGCAAATGATCTGGTCGGCAAGCGAGAACAGGGAGGGTGAAATAAAAGGAAAGGTGAAGAGGCTAGCTTGGAGACTTGAATGGCAACCAAGAATTTGAATGTCCACCCACCCGCTCTTCGATTCTCTTGTCTATTCTTTGCACGTTGCAAATAACCTACGGTATTTGATTGGCTGCAGCAACGTCCTATATGACATATGACGTGAAGCGACGTGTGTTCAAAGCGTCTGGAAAGTGGACTTATCAAAAATGATCCTTCAAAACGTTTGTGAGGGCAACACACTAGTCACTTTCACGTTCTCGAAGAAGCTCATGAATTTATGCACTGGCAGGTAGCTGCTGTGCAAAGGGCTTCAAAATGCTCATGCGTGCCGCGTCTCTGAAATGGGACACAGCACACAAGTCTTCACATGTGTCATGCCGGGTCACTTGTTGACCACGCTGCATTCTAGCGTGCAATTATTTACAGTGTTGTGCATCTCTGTTGATGCGGACGAGACAATCAGACCTCTTTCCGCCATGCCAGCCACATAGGGGAACTTCAAATGGATAGCAAAGAGGAAGTGATTCATCCAGCCACTATGGATAGAATCCCGAAAAACTGTGCTGTGCTGGAAAAGTGGATGACAAAGGCTGGGATCCAAACTATTCAGCTTCTACTTGCTTGCTTGTCATTCAAAATGAAAGTGAGTCATTGCTGACAATGCTCAGCCTCGGCCAGATTCAATTGTCATGGAATTTCCCAAGGGGCGGCCTTGGATCTTGCCGCTCAAGCCACTTTGGAAGTGCAAAATTAGAAAGAATCCATTCAAAGGCAATGCATCCAAAAAAAAGAAATTGGGTTCCAAGCTATTCACCACCTATAACTAAGCTCCCTAGCAGAGCTCCGATTCAGATCCTTTTGGGGAGCCCTTAGAACAAAAAATGCCGCCGGAAAGCCTCCAACACAGCGCCTCGATTTGCCAGACTGGAGGTTCGGCGGAGCTTGTCACGGTAGTCTTGGCCTTAGAACACAAGTTCGGCACCTGGCACACCCCCAACTTACCAAAAGCAACTTCAACTGGCATAATAGAAACAAGTGCATCGCTACTAGTAACAAGTGCCTTACTAATAGTAACAAGAAGCTATTAGATACAGATTTTAAAGGCAACCATTCTCCCACATGTGCGTTCTAGAAGAGCTCTGCTGTCAGACCAACACTCAGCCGCGACTCCAACTCTAATTGCAAAGCCTTGACCATCACATTGACACGCAAAATGGTTTGTGTTGTTCCACTGTACGCAAACAAATGCGGGTCGGGTCCTGCATCAGCACGGATCTGTCGTTGTTGGCGTATCACCATCTTACCGATCATAATCGCTGCCTTTCCTCTTCTCCTCTTAAGTCCTTCTCTCTCTCTCTCTCTTTCTTTTTCTTTATCATGTTATGTATCTCTGTCTTTCTCTCGGCCCACTTTATGCTTCTCGTTATGTTTGCTTCTTTGCACTGTCTAGTTCCTCTCTTTTTCTGTACTTCTTCAAATCTCTTGAATAATCTGTGTCTCGGTATTTTCTCAGTTTCTCACTTTTGCTGCTCGCATGCTCTATATATATATGTGTTCCCTGTTTTTCTCTTTTCTCTCTCCCCTTGTATGTCTCTCTGTCTCTCTATTTCTCTATTCATCTCTGTGTTCTTATGGCCTTCTGCAAACTAACAAGGGTGCAAGACCATTGGCGTGCAGCTTCAGCCTTTTACAAAAGGTTTTTTGCGTCTCATTGGATTGCATGAAGAGTGCTCTGAGTAACTGAATAACTTGTAATGTATCTAATGTTTGCCCAATACATTTCAGGATTCAAGAGGCTTGCAAGATACCAACCTCCAATTTTTTCGACGACTAAGAGACCAGACAAAAAACAACCAGAGATAAATTAGAGACATTAGAGTGGAATATATAGAGATAAATAAAAGACTGGAGAGAAATCGACGGAAGAGGGACACCGAAATATAGAGCAAGAGAGGGAAAGAGAGCAACAAGAGAACGAGTAACTGAGTAAGTGAGTGAGTCTCAGTGAGAGTGAGTGAAGAAGAGAAGAAAGAAACAACAAAAACAACTAATGCTTTGAAGCCACGCTGAAGTAGCACCTCACTGTTGCTGCTGATAGCGGTAGTCCAAGGTGCCGAGTACAAAGCTCCACTCAAAGCCTCGTATAGCACCAGCATCTTCAAACGCATGTGATAAGAGCAAAATCCAACAAAAAAATGCAAAAATAGAAAAAAAAATATGAAAGCGCCTGGTTCCACGCCGTATGTAACTCTGATTCCGACATTTTCACCAGGCAAATGCGCCAATCCTCAGAAAAAACTCCAATCAACACATCACCAAAAAAAACTATGCCCATATTACAATTCAACTGCTGCAGCTAGCAAACAGCAAAGGAAACAGCGCAATTCCACAGTGCACCATACTGCCCTGTAAACGCCGACTACCAGTGGGGGTTCAGCATCCAGTTCACTCACTCAAAGGAAACATTAAATCAGAGCCAAAGTGTTGATGTACAAGGTGCATTCATCAGGCCCACAAGTGCACCTGCGCACAGTTGGAAAAATCGGGTTTTAGTTGCTGATCAGTCAATTGCAGCATTGACTTCTTCGAACCTGCAACCGCAGCAAGCCACAAGGCAATGCGTTTCTGTTTCTGTGGCGGCCGCATTATTGGAGACAAACTAAATTTGTGCCTTTGTGATTGAAAAATCTGCGGGAGACAAGGCTTATGGTGCAAAGTACATCACAATGATTTGGGCATTGCTTTGGACGACGTTGCGAGACCACCGTTCCAGTTCACAAATTCGCAACATGGTGGAGAATGATGCTGCACAATCCGCATGTTGCAATCAACAACATTCAGTTTTCGCAGAGTCAGCCGAAGCTAAATGTATGTCAGAATACAGATGCGTATTACAGTAGGTCAATAATTTTCAGAAACCAATTTTGGCCAAATGAAGAAATATTGGACTGCACGCCGGTTTCCCAAAAGATTGCGTACGGCACCGTTAAAGTTGCGAACATCAGGATTGTTCTGACTGGTTCACAGACGCGCATCGAAACCTCCACGTTCTAGAAGTTGCACAGACACTCCCATTTTCACTGCCTGAGAATGCAAAGCTTTGAGGTCTCGTTTCCGGGAGTTTTCACCCGGCCAGATCTCTGATCTTTCTTTCAAGACCAGTTTGACCTTTGCACTGAAGATCGATGGACCTTCGAGATTTCATAGTGGGGTAGGTGAACACTGACAAATGAGGAAGGAAAAGCGCCAAGCTAAGGCTTTGATACAGAAAACTAGTGGGGTGGGAGGGTGAGGTATTTTCTTTAAAGCTACCCCCCCAAAGCCAACGTTTGGTTCAGATGCACGCTTCGAGCCAAACCGGTTCCGTTAGAGCACGTGCAAACAGACATGAACAAGTACATGAGCCGTGTCTATTCCAAGTACGTGCACATGACAAACCTTTACTAGCACACCTTGTCCAATCCGGGGACAGCGCATCTACCCTATTTGATGTGTCTGTGACAAAGCACACCTCGGAATGGTTTTGAAAGATTGATGGTCACACCCTAAGCCTCACACTGGACTCCGAAGCTGCCAGCGTTCTCACCCGATTCAGCAAACTCGCAACCATGCCTGAGCAAGACGGATTCAAATCAACCTTGCTCCCACTCACTGGGAAATAGACCTTCTCACACTGCCCGATGGAACTGGGCAATGGGACACCACTCAGTGGTAGGCTCTTTCTTCAAACGACTCTGGAAATCAGCATGCTCACGACGCCGACTCAGACAGCAGCAGGCTGCCACAAAAGATTCCCGCTGCAAAGACCATAGCGGCCGCTGCTAAGCGCAGCCAGCATTGTTCCCACATCCAGGGCCATCATCATACCTCAGGACGGCATGAGCGAAACATCAAGCTGGTGCTTATCACATGTCTGATCTATAACAAAAATTCTGCAAAACGTGCCATTCTGGACTCGAAAAATGCATGACTCTTATTTGGTTGATTCGGCTTTAAACCCTGTAAGGATTAGCTCGCAAAGCTTCTTGGGGTAATGCTGCGTCTCTTTTCAATTGACGTCTTTGGAAGACAAATGATCATGACAACCATCACAGACACAGACCTTAAGACTCTCAAGCAAACGGGTACTATCAGTATCTATTCTCCATGTCTTCTTGACCAACAAGTTTTCTGCATCAAATCGACTGAGTGGAATACAGACCTCTCTGTCTCAGAAACTCTTTCATCTGATTCCATCCCCAATAAGCGCATCGCTTTGACCATTCAATCGCTACGATTTAGCTGCTTCTGACAAACGTGGAAAACCTTTCCAAAGCTTCTTTTCGATTCGGTACAACTCTCGAAGTTGACTCACGCAATCCTGACCATACTTCTTGAGACAAAAATATTGAAACGGACATCTCCGGAATCGATGACCATAAGACAACAAGCTTTCCTTTCTTCTTGTGACTCAACATCGACTCTCTCGTCTCTTCGATCGTGTCCGCACGGGTTCTGTCATCTGCCTCCGCAATCGTCAAGGCCTCAACACCTTCCAAACGTTCTCCTTCAGCTTTCATCTCGGATTCCGGCAACGTGCAACTCGACAATTGCAAGACTCTGCACGAAACGTCCCCAGATCCAACACCACCTTCCGGTCCAATCGTATGGAATTTTGCATGCATTCAAAAAACCTCCAGCAACTCCCATCTTCTCCGCTGCACTCTTGCAATCTGCTGTCGGCCTTAACATGCATTAAATTGCTGCTGAATGGTTTCCCGCAGGCGGTGTCCTCAGACACTGTCCTGACGATGGCCAAAAACTCAACCTGCCAGCCTCACCTGCAGCGGAAGCGGGTTGCTAAGGCCTTTTCAAGAACCTGCGAGAACTTTTCAATGGTTTCGGCTCAAACACGCAAACTCGTCTTGGGCATACTGGCAGGTGTGGAGGCCTGGAGGGAGGAGTCTGCAGTGGGAGAGGCCATCTTCCTCGGTGGGCTCATGGATGGTATTAGCTTGCAGCACCGCAGCCCTGGAGATGGCAAGACCGAGGATGAACTCTACTATCTCACCCTCACCACTATTGCAGGAAACGACATTCAGGTCGCAGCACCAGTCAAGATCCACCACAGCTGGGAAATGTGAGAGGACTTCCTGGTGGAACAGCTGGCTGCGGTGAGTCAGTTAGAGACCTTTGGCTGCGAGACAACCCTCTTGCACCCGCAGACTCATGAAGCTCTTTGTGACCCAATCCAGGACACCCTTCGGACTGCTACACACTTCCACCTTGTAGTGCGGCAGAATTTCCAAGTCTATGATGACAAGCGCCAAATCCAAGGAGAAGATTATGAGGTGGCTCTTCACGGTCCATAATACGGTGCCAAGTCATTGAATCTCTTGTTGTTTTTTTTCCACGAGTACGGACGCCATGTGGGCGGTGTGCCCAGGTCATCATTGAAAGGGAGGGAAACACAACTTGATGATGGGGAATAAAAACACCAGAAAGCGCCCAAACCAGAACAAAACAAAGCAACAAAACCAAAACACAACAAAAAACCACCAAAGGCCAAAGCCAATTCCCCATCATAACTGACAGTGTTTCCTCTGTACGGAGGTGAGACAAGTGAGAAAAGTGGCTGCATACTATCTAAGGGCCTGAATTCGCTACGAAAGCTGCCAAGCATATCTGCGCGTGAGCGAAGAGCCTGCGAAACCAATCAAATGTGGCTTCGTTCTGTCGTCAAGCCTTGGCCACTGCAACGAGTGGCAGTCAGGGTATTGCAGCTTTTAGCAAGGGGCTCATAATGACTGTCAGCAGTAATGATTCTTGCCAAAGGAAATCAGTTGTTGCAGTGCCAGGCAAGCCCAGGAAAATTCCTTTTTTCGCAGTTCTACTAGGACTTACATTTGACATGCTATGAACTGCTGGTGCAAA